CGGGCCTGCAGCCTCCTCTGCCTCCGGCTTGAACTAGAGGCTGGTTTACCTCCCTGCAGCAAACTCCTCATCCTCACTTGCCTTTTAGCGCCTCTGGAAAGGTTTGAGTGAGCACGTTTGGGTTAGTTTGGGGGGTATTTCTGTTTTAACTCCATTGCCTCATCTCCACCCACCCACGTAGGGTCCACCTTGTTCTTACAACCAGGGGGGCAAAAGCAAGGAAAGAGTAGTAGCACCACAGCAAGATTTTTGCACCCTTCCACATGCGGGGTGGGGAGCGGGAAGGATTTAACTTGACCCTCGCTGACACATCCGAATCCAGGACCCACCTTGTCTGTCAGGCGACAGAAGGTTTCTGCACGTATATGCTGCTACATGGCAGGAAGAAACGGTAAAGACAAACCGTGCTCCCTGGGGACAAGGACAGGTTGTGTCTGTGTGCATTCTGGCCACAGGCAGCACACACTTGGGTCTCCCAGGCTAAACGGGGCCCCATAAAAATAGACTTAAGTCTTTCCTGTAGAATTTCCATCACCAGAACCACACAAATTGGGTAACCACCCTGCGTTAAGGAAACACACGGTTCAGTTCATGTTCAGCTGCAAAGGATCACCCGTCCAGGATAGCGACTTCCCAAAAAAAAAAATGGGGAAGGGAAGAGACAAATGGAGATTGTATCAAGCACAGGCACTGCCCTGGCAGTAGGTGGCTGCTCAGCAACTCCATCCTGGGGGAAACTCGTGAGGGGCTGTAGAAGGAGCTGCGGTGCCAGGCCACTCCACACCTGATGGGACTTCAGGTGCAGGAGAAGCACAGCGACAGCTGGCAGCAGTGGGAATGACAGTTTGGTCAAAGAAAAGTAGTGTACACAAATTAGGAAAAAAGAGCTGTATCAAAATAAAAAAGCAAAACCACAACTCAAGTGACACAGCATTTTTAGGGCAGTCTCCACCGTTACAATGAATTGGAAATAAAACCTTTAATGAGCGCAGCTGCTTTAAAACAACCCAGGCAGCTTGTGGCCTGGTTTTGGAGCCAACAAAAGGACTCCATCGGCCTGGTCTTTGCGTCTGCAACGGAACGTTCGTCCTGGCCTCCTGAGCGCTGAAGCGACTGGGGGGAAAGGGCGAGTCAGAACTCCGGCGGGAGCTGTCCTAACCAGCGACCCACGGGTGGGTCGAACCAGCTGAACCATTCCTATCAAGAGGTGCCCTGTTTCGGCACTGGGAGAGATGACAGAAACTGGCAAGTTTGGTCTAAAATTAGAGTCAAGAGTGCTGCAGTGCCCCCAAAAGTCATCCTCCGTGGGGCTGACTGGAGCCGTTGATTCTAGTTAGTAAAACCTGGAGGTGCTTTATGTGCTGGGAGAGTAAAACACAACACTAATGACAGCGGTGGTTACTTTTAAGCTCACCTGAGCTGCTTAAGTTAGGCATCTCGGTAACTCTTGCACGATCCAGAACCTCTGCTCACAGGCGTTAACAGATGTGGTACTTACACAGAGTTCTCACAGTGATCAGCAGCTTCTGAAGCCTGCAGTGCAATTATCGTTAACGATCAGGCATGTAAGACTCTACGGACAACACAGACAGTACAACAGGCCTACAGAGGCTCGGAAATACGGATTGGGGGCCGAAACTTGCAATTAGGCACGACATATTCATGAAGTGTAAGATCACTTAATAGTTACAGACACCCACCACACAGTGTCTGGTCATAAAAGGAAGAGCTGCTTGTGGTTCTGTCTCGGCTCGGGGTTTCCCGACTTCTGCGGACACAAATCAGACCTTCGGTATGAAACGAGAAGTAATTTATTGGTAACGCTTCTGGTTTTCCCACTCTGCTGGGGAAGGGGAGAACAGCAGGGGAAAACAGATGCCTGACAGGATCTCAAGTTCCCAGAGTCCAAATGCGATTTATAGCAGTAACAAGGGTTTGTGGAATAAGACATCGGTGAGGATTTCCCTTTTGGGTCATAGCTTGAACATCCACTCCCAACATGCACTGCTGCACCTGCAGTGCAATCTGTGACTGCACCAAGTACGGCAGGACCGCAGAAACACACGTCTGAATTGTGTTTCGGAGGAGATGTACGCACAGCGTCTTGCTTAATGGGGTTTTTTCTGGTTGAAGAGACGCACCAGTTCAAATCTTACACCAATGGCCTAGGAGTCTCTTTTTTAATGGTATGTTAGAGATGCAAGAATGCATCTAAAAACTAGTAAGATGGGGTTTTTCGATCTGTACTTTAAAATAGCTATCTCCAAGGTCAATATTTTATATAGTTATTTCCAGTCTAAAGAAAGTGCTGTAAATAAATGTAAACTCCTGAAAAATAGGAGTTCCTAGAGGAAATGTAGGCACACACAGACCTGGCCTCACTGGATGCTAGGATACACGACTGTACATTTTCTCTGGGTTTAACAGAGCAAGTAAATCCAATCCAGAGCTTTCACCCCTACAGAGCGTTACTGATGAGGACGAGAACACGGAGTAAGTGATCATCACCCATACCAGCCGCATCATTTCACAACGGGATCCGCAGGCGCAGGGTTGGAGAGGTCCCCGTTGCTTGCTTTAACGGATTCTTCTACAAAAACAGAAATTGAAAGACATGGATCACGTTTAACGTTTTATTCAAGGCAGTAAAACCGAGGCCTTAGCACACGTACCGCCCTGACGTCACGCCCTGTGCCGAGGGCGTTGCGCCCTGGCCAGCACGTGCAAAGCGACCTTGCGGCACGAAGGGTCCCAGCCCTGTGCGGAAACCTCTGTGTGGGGTCAGAGGTTTCCTCAGTTGGCAGAGCTCGCGTACGGATTCCACGCAGGCGCTCGCACGTGTTGCAGAGCCCAAGCCCAAACACCACAGCAGAAGGCCAAGAAGTCGCCACGTTCAAAGCTTCTCACCCTGGTCCACGTTTCGAGCTCGGACCACGACAGCGAACATTTAACCTGAGATACATTAGGTAACCGCTGTCCTGCAGAACCCACTCCCAGCGAGGACGGGCTGCTGTCTGTTTGTACTCATCGCAGTGCCTGCCGCCCCGGGTTTTGGGGGGAGGTATTTTCATTGTCTGTTTTGGGGGGGTTCGTGTTCAGCTTTGGGTGTGTTTTTTGGGGCTTTATTTGGTCTTATTTTTGGGGTGATTGTTGCTTTTTTTTTTGTTTGTTTTGAGGGGTTTTGGTGTTTTTTTAAAAGTTGAGTTGAACAATTACTTGAGCAAATCCACCGAATGTGATCAAGCATGAATTCATCACCCCTGACCTGACAAAACTCCTTCTGGAATACTGGATCAACCCACTGGCAAGAAAGCAGTTATGGAGAAAATGAAAAAAGCACCTTCCCTACTACAGCACACTCTCTCATGAGCCAAAATGTTCCATGTATAGCATTCACTCACCCTCTTTTTCTTTCTTTTCCTGGTTTTCTTCTGCTGCAGTTTTATCTGCTCTGAAAAAAATTCTTGCACTACTCAGGGAGAAATAAAGGAGCTCAAATTCCTAAAGGAAAAGATACAAAAGAGGCGTGTCAGCGTATCCCAAGAACAAATTTGTAGGCAGATATAAATGGGATTTTTCAGAAGCATCTAAGACAACTAGATTGCAATATCTGAATCACTTGAATGCTTTTGGAAACCTTCCTCCATTCACACCTGGTTCACAGGCATTTTACAAAGGAAATGTTAGCCAAAAACTTTCAAAGGTAACATAAGCCAAGCAGCATCAGTGCAACGCATCTGTGACTGACCTACCGAGGCTGAAAACGAGGCTTGTAGCAGCAGTGAGAGTTTGGAGCACTTGCCCATAGAGGATCATGCAAGCCAATCATTTCAATACCACAAGCTCGCTCAGTTTCCGAGCGAGGTTCAGTGATGTGGGTTTTCAGCAGCAGAGCACCAAACGTGGTGCACGCTCATGGAGTCATGAGGACAGAGAGTTTTATCTACTTCAACAGATGTGCTTTTACAGAAAGTAATCATGGGCTATTTATAAACAGCCAACTATGGATTTGTCCCATGGCATCCTCAAATCAAGAGCAGAGAGAGAAAGCATTTACACTGGCAATGAAACCTTAACCGCTATGCTTCAAAATCCAAATGCATCTTTCCTCTAGAAAAAGGAGAGCATCATTCAACTTGGCAGCTCAGAATTAACACCCAAGCAGCTCTGAGGGTTCAGAGTGTTATCTAAAATCTTTGTGATAAGAAATCTAACCAAAATGTTACTCTCTCCTGTTTAAGCCTTTACATTTCAGTTGCATTAGATTTCAACCACCGTGGGACAAAGACTTCCAACCAGCCAGGTCAGGCTCCTGCCTCTCTCAAGTATCACAAACCCAACAGACATCCCCTTCAGACC